GTCATCCACCAAAGGAAGCACCCAATGAAGGAACCTACCTCTTTGCAAAAAGCGTGACTGAAGTTGGCCAGTGAGTGCATCTAGGGCTCCCTACCTCTGAGCTATCTCTGCAGTTCTTGTACTCCAGTCTATAGAAGAAAGGAACTGAACAGCGAGTTTGTCACAGTGGTTACTTCTAGGAACTGACTTCAAATGTCAAGAGTCAGGAGCATGAAATAGGCCCTGTAAGACTCTGGTAAACACATCGCTCCAGTTCCATGTGAGTAGCATAGAGTTTAAAACATAAGCATGTAAAGAGTGGCTGTTAGCATGTCATAGGAGTTAAAAGGAATGAGCCAGAGCTATTCTTATCTGTATGAATTTCAAAATGAAGGTTAGTTAAAAATTGCCAGATGTCACCCAGAATAATACCTTTACATAGCAGTTACAGCATTGGACGTGCGCACGTGTGTTAAGATACACACATACACACACACACACAAACACACACACACACAGTATCTGAAGTTAGTGTGCACAATATTAGTATTTGACATACCTGTATGTCAAGTGTATGTGGTTGGGAAATAATCATACTTCTCAAACCTCTGTATATCTGAACTATCATAATACAAGTTTACTGTCCCTTTTCCAAAGTGCTAAGACTAAAAGTGTTTCAGATTTGGGCTTTTGTTTTTGTTTTTCTCTTTGGTATCTATCTGTGGATATTTTAGGGATGAACCCAAATCTCAACGCTAGCTTCATTTATGTTTCCTGTGTACATTATGTACTCAAGTAAGTTTATGTATTTTAAGATACTTTTAAAAAATAAATTTATTAGTTTTATGTGTGTGTTTGTATCCCTGTATGAGTTTACAAGTACCATGGGCACTCAGGAGCTCATGGAGAGTGTCGATACCCTAAAACTGGAGTTAAGAGTTTTGAGTTGCCAGGTACACACGTGTGCTGAGAACCAAATCTTGCTCCTCTGTAAGAGCAGTAAGCATTGACACTGAGTCAGCTCTCCAGCTCCCAGTTTTAACCATTGGACCATCTCTAGCACCCAGGTTTATATATTTTTAATGTATCTGGTTTTTTTTTTTTTTTTGATATTTGGTCATGTTCTGTAGGTCAGGCTTACCCTGAACTCAGAATTCTCCCACATGGGTCTCCTGAGTGCCCCTGGGATTATAGGGATGTGTTCCCACACCTGGTCTGTTCCTGTGTTTTGACTGAGACCATCACATAAGGTTTGATGGAGAATTTTCCGCATGTAGCACCATCTCTTGTTCCCTGGCTTTAAGAATTATGTGAATTTCAGATTTTTGGATTTGGGGTACTCAATCTTTATTTTAAAATATTAGGAGATGCCTATCTTGATGTACTTATAGCTATTGCTGCCTTTGATTTTCTTGCTGTTTGGTATCTTTCTGTCAAATCTATATTCCTTGGCTTAGGACTAGGTCTGTAGGCTTGTTATCTTTGTCCATCCTCTACAAGACGGCGTCTCTGAACACCGGCTGTCCACTGTAGAGCAGCTGGGAGTGATAAGACAGACTTCAGGTTCTTGTTGAGGGACATTTCCTAAAACTGACCTAGATCTCAAGCCCTGAATTGGACTGAACTGGCTTTATCATGCCAGTTGAGTTAGTAGATATGGTCCATATTTGAAGAGTTGAGAGCTCCCATTTCCTTTTGGTCCCCAAATCCTAAGACTAGAAGAAGCAGCATTCTCCTGGGATTTAAAGATGGTAGTGAATTCCGTTTAGCCAAACCTGGGACTGGTCATTGGCCTTGATTTCCTTCTGTCATTAGCTTCATTAGCTAGTCTTTCACTGAGTACTTTAGCAATAGTAGGTGTGGAAAAATATCAATTTCACAGAAGTTTCTGGAAATGACAGAGTAGAGATTCCTGTGGTGAGATAGTATAGAGTACAGGTGGACACACATCTGGCCCAGACCTTAGCCCATGTAGGCACAGCCCAGGGGAAAGAAAACCTTTGAAGAGATGCACTCTGCAGTCTTAGAACAGTGAGCAAGCTGCAAGCATAGAGGCTCCTGCAAGCATAAGAGAGAGACCCTTCTGCTCTTATTAGTCTGTGAGTCAAGTCTCCATGATGTGTTTTTGTCCCCACCTAAATTCTCTTTGCGGACCCCCCCCCCGGGGGGGGGGTATTTCAGCTTACAATTGTCGTTCATCTTGAGGTAAACTCACTTTGAAAGCAGAGGTGATTTTTCTGTTTTCTTGTTTCCATTTCTTTGCTCCTTTCAGAGATACTGCCTTAGCTTTAAATGTTTCAGTGTATGGCTAACGACTGGGCTTTTCATTTTCCTGTGAAAGCTTTCATTTAAAAAAATTCTACCTCAGGAATTAATGGTAGCGATGTAATTTCTTTTTAAAGCAGCTTGTTCTGCAAAAGTTGGGAAGACACATTTATGCTCTTATAAACATACTTTGTGTATGTGAAAAATATTCACTCAAGTTTGTGTGCCTTGATTCTGAACTCCCCACAGAGAATGTATTTTGTGTGTCTTGTTTGCTTATGTGGAGTCAGATTAAAGGTTGATTTTCCAACCTTGGCTTTTCTGTCTAAGCTGAGCAGTTGGAAGGCACGAAGCTACACAGAACTCCACAGTCCTCAGCTGTGAACAGGCCCTGCTTTGTTGATGGCCCTTCACTGTGTCAGGGGCTGGTGACCAGTGCCAACTGCAACTCTGTGAGAGGCCATCCCTTGAGTGCATAGTTGTCTGGAGACCACTTGGTGTTTATAGAACTGTGGCCAGGCTGAACCAGGCTTACTGTAGGTCTTGCTCTGGAGAACTTCTGTCATCTGACTAGACATCTGATTGCACTGTAATTTGTACCTGAGCATGTCTCTGTTGGTAGAGTCTGTGAGGCCCTGGAGGAGCTTCGGTTGGAGATCCCTACCCCGGGAAGGGGTGATCAGCCATATCACACACTTTGTCCCTGCCCTCCTGAACACAGAATGGAGCCGGAGTGGGCAGGTGCGAGGTTTTTATTTCTACACCTAACCTAGGAGTGTGTTCCTGGAAAGACTTTATTTAACAGCCTTCCTTGACTACCACTTGTGAGAGCACTTGGCCTTGGCTTTGGATCAAATGTCACTAGTTGTCCATAGCTAGAAATCAGAATCCATTCGTAATATGAATGCTGCCTTGCCCAGGCTTCGAAGGCTTGTGTGGGTTGGCCTCAGCCTTTTTTTTCCCCCAGAAGCAATGGCAGGAATGGAGTGTTGGGCCTTGGTCCTACACATCCCCAAGTGACAGTTGTTGTGAGCAGTCCAGTTCTTCCTCAAGGGCCTCATCAGAATGAGGCAGAGAAAGGGTTTGTGCTGTGAAGAGACCGAGTGTCCAAAAATGTGATGCTGGGGTGTTTAAACGATGTCCCTTCTTTAAAATGCCCTAATGTCTCTGAAGAGGCACATAAATCTCCCTGCCCAAGCAGCTGGTGTCTAGAGAGCCTGGACACAGTGTCCTCACCTTCCCCACCTTTCCCTCTTATTCTCCCTCCCTCCTAGTCTTTCTCATCCACACTGGAGTTCTGCTTGTTTGTTCTTTGCTGATCCTCTTCAGAGGGAGTAGACTACGTCTCCTCTCTAGCTCAGGGGACTGGGAACTGATGATAGCGTTGACATGAGTTAAAAACTTAGTGAAGTGGAACTGAGCCGGGGCTATCAGCCAGGAAGGGGTGAGCCCAGTTGCCTCTGATCCTTTGGACTTTGGTCTGTAAGCAACAAGAATGGTATGCTTCAGCCTCTTGATTCGGGGTATGTTGTCTGACAAAGAGCCTAGTGACACTGCTCCCTTCTCCTGTGAAGTCTGCAGATGTGAAATTCCAGTCCTAGAATCCCATGGGCTTCCCAAGACTTGCTTTCTGTTTCCCAATATGGAAATTGTAGGCTCTGTGACTGACTGGTATTGCTACAGAAAGGGTGTTGTCCTGAACCAAGTTCTTGATTACTTTTCAGGATTGCAATACCAAGGTGCTTGTCTGTGACCCTAGGGGCTTTGCTTAGGGCACTGGCAACAAAGCAGATTATGGTGTGCCAGGGGCCTTGCGGGAAAGCCTGCAGATGTGTTGGGGTTGACTGAGCTTTTTGTTGGCTTGTTTGTTTAACTAAAACCAGACAATTTTACATTGAAGAAAAATACAAAAAAAAAAAATTGGCCCAACATGAAAAATGAAAAGTTCTCAGATTAGTCAAAATCACATCTTAAGTATTTGGCACATGCAGCCATGCTTAGCTTTGGCATCATTGCCACTACTCCCTGTTGTATCACTTCTAAACAGCACTCGTGCCCATGAGTGGTTTGAATCCTGTAGTGGGGAGGATTTAAGGGGCGCCTTGAACTTGGGCCATGGTCATGGACTTTGAAGGCTACTGGTTGTAGTAAGGATTCCGCTAGTTAGTTCCCAGCCACTTAGTCCCAAAATAACCACACAGAAGCTGTATTATTTAAATCACTGCTTGGCCCATTAGCTCAAGCTTCTTATTGGCTAGCTCTTACATCTTAATTTAACCTATCTCCATTAATCTATACGTCACTACGAGGTCGTGGCCTACCAGCAAAGTTTCAGCACATCTGACTCTGGCAGAGGCTCCATAGCTTCTCTCTGACTCCGCTCTTCTTTCTCCCAGTATTCAGTTTGGTTTTCCCTGCCTACCTAAGTTCTGCCCTGCTATAGGTCCAAAGCAGTTTCTTTATTCATTAATGGTAATCACAGCATACAGAGGGGATTCCCACATCAACTGGACATTACAAATTCCAGCTGTCCCCTGTATTCTGCCATCTGCCTGTTTGTATCTTTGGGTACTAGAAGAACTGTCCAGACTATAGGTAAAAATTATCCATTTTTGAAGAGGGGGTAAGAACATGGGTTTGCTTCTGCTCTTAATTTAGTCTGAAGAAATGTAAGAAACCTTAAGTTTGTGATAGGGGTAGAAATTGTCTAGTTCCTCAGTTTCTCCAGAAAGTAATTTACTTGTATGTGTTGGCAGGTGGAAAGCAAGCCAGCCAAGATGGATATCTACGACACTCAGACCTTGGGGGTTGTGGTCTTTGGCGGATTTATGGTTGTTTCTGCCATCGGTATCTTCCTGGTGTCAACCTTCTCCATGAAGGAGACATCGTATGAAGAAGCACTTGCCAACCAGCGCAAGGAGATGGCAAAAACTCACCACCAGAAAGGCGAGAAAAAAAAGAAGGAGAAGACTGTGGAGAAGAAAGGAAAGACCAAGAAAAAGGAAGAAAAACCTAATGGGAAGATACCCGATCATGACCTGGATCCCAACGTGACCATCATCCTCAAGGAACCGGTGCGTGTACCTGCTATGGCTGTGGCTCCAACTTCAGTCCATTCGTCTATGGTCCATACCCCTGTAGCCACTGTACCAGCCATGCCTCAAGAAAAGCTGGCTTCCTCCCCTAAGGACAAAAAGAAGAAGGAGAAAAAAGTGGCGAAGGTTGAGCCAGCAGTCAGTTCTATTGTGAATTCCATCCAAGTTCTTGCTTCAAAGTCTGCCATCTTGGAAGCAACACCCAAGGAGGTGCCTATGGTGGCTGTACCCCCCGTGGGCTCTAAGGCCAGTGTTCCTGCCACCAGCAATCAGGGCAAGAAGCGGGAGGGAGCACAGAACCAAACCAAGAAGGGGGATGGGGCCCAGAACCAATCTAAGAAGGGGGATGGGGCCCAGAACCAAGCCAAGAAGGGAGAGGGAGCCCAGAACCAAACTAAGAAGGGGGATGGAGCCCAGAACCAAGCTAAGAAGGGGGAGGGGGCCCAGAATCAGGCCAAGAAGGGAGAAGGGGCCCAGAACCAAGCTAAGAAGGGGGAGGGGGCCCAGAACCAGGCCAAGAAGGGGGGTGGGGTTCAGAACCAAGCTAAGAAGGGAGAAGGGGCTCAGAACCAGGCCAAGAAGGGAGAAGAGGCCCAGAACCAGGCCAAGAAGGGAGAAGAGGCCCAGAACCAGGCCAAGAAGATAGACGGGGTCCAGAACCAGGCCAAGAAAGGGGGAGAAGGGGCCCAGAACCAGGCCAAGAAAGGGGGAGAAGGGGCCCAAAATCAGGGCAAAAAGGGGGAAACAAACCAAAATCAATCTAAGAAAGGTGAGGGAGGCCAGAACCAAGCCAAGAAGGGGGAAGGGGCTCAGAACCAGACCAAGAAGGGGGAAGGACCCCAGAACCAGGGCAAGAAGGGGGAAGCAACTCAAAACCAGGGCAAAAAAATGGAAGGAGCTCAGAACCAAGGCAAGAAGACAGAGGGAACCCCAAACCAAGGCAAGAAGGGAGAAGGTACTCAAAACCAGGCCAAAAAATTAGAAGGCTCTCCTAACCAAGGAAAAAAGGCAGAGGGGGCCCAGAACCAGGGTAAGAAAGGAGAGGGCGGCCAGAACCAGGGCAAGAAAGGAGAGGGGGCTCAGAACCAGGGTAAGAAAGGAGAGGGGGTCCAGAACCAGGGCAAGAAAGGAGAGGAGGCCCAGAACCAGGGTAAGAAAGGAGAGGGAGCTCAGAACCAGGGTAAGAAAGGAGAGGGAGCTCAGAACCAGGGTAAGAAAGGAGAAGGGTCTCCCAACCAGAGCACAAAAGTTGAGGTTATACAAAACCAGGGCAGAAAGGCAGAAGGAACCGCAAATCAGGGCAAGAAGATGGAGGGGGCCCAGAACCAGGGTAAAAAGGGGGAAGGGGCCCAGAATCAGACCAAGAAGGGGGAAGGGGCCCAAAACCAGGGGAAAAAAGGGGAAGGGTCTCAAAACCAGGGCAAAAAGGCAGAAGGGGCCCAAAGTCAAAGCAAGAAAGGGGAGGGCACCCAGAATCAGGGCAAAAAGGGGGATGGAAATCCCAACCAAGGCAAGAAGGGGGAAGGGGCTCCCAACCAGAGTAGAAAGACTGATGCAGTTGCTAATCAGGGCACAAAGACAGAAGGTGTCTCAAACCAAGGAAAAAAGGCAGAGGGGGCCCCCAATCAGGGCAAAAAGGTAGATGAGTCCCCCAATCATGGCAAAAAGGTAGACACAGCTGCCAATCAAGGTAAAAAGTCAGAGTCGGCTCCTGCCCAGGATAAAAATGCAGGAATGGTCCAGAGCCAGGAGGCACCAAAGCAAGAAGCTCCTGCAAAGAAGAAGTCTGGTTCAAAAAGAAAAGGCGAGCCTGGTGAGTGCCCTGACTGTCCTGTGAGCTTGAGGGAAAGCTGCTCCTCTGTGACTGGCCGGTGTCCACAGTGCTCTGTTGATTCACTTTTCCTGTTCTCCCCAGATTGGGTACGGATGACAGACCAGGGAAACAACTCCACACAAGTCCAGCTCCATGGACCATTGAGCTTTTGGGCTTTTATACAGGAGCAGGGGTGCTAGTTTACCTACAGGAGCATGGATAAGTCTAAGGCAGCTGTATCACCACCAAAATGCCCACCACAGCCTCCCTGAGGGTTTAGGAAAGCTGTGCTCCTGGAGCTCTCTCTATCCCTGCTCAACTTGGAGGCAGCTCCACTAAAGACTCATATCTCCCCAGTAATTGTGGTGGTCGTGTAACCTTGAGGAGGACCTGTGAGTCTTGGGACTTTGTGAGCTTCCTGAATTTTATGATCCTCAGACCTCTACAGGAGGGATGTTTGAGTTTGGAGGATGTAGTTACATAACTGGGTGCCTTCTGTGTCAGTCAGCTGCTGCTATAGTAAGGCTGCGTAACAAGCACCCCAAGTTCTACCGCCTTGTAACAGCAGTCCTTTGTCTTTGCTCCCGTGTCTGTGGTTGGCTAAGGTTGGTTGATGTAGGTCCTGTCTGCTGGGAGGCTCTGCTTCATGCTGTGTCATAACTAGGTAGGCTCAGGGCTTCTCCACATGCATGAGTTCATTTGGGGCCCTGAGCTGAAGTGCCTGTTTCTCTCTAGGGCAGAAACCCTCTTAGGGTGTAGCAGAGGCATAAGACATTTTGAGCAGGCACCTTCAAGCTGCATCTCATTCTTCAGGGCAAGTCATGTGAATGGTACTGAGTCCCCTCTGAGGGACTGCATGAAGTGGTGTGAGAAACAGTCTAGATAGGGTAGTCTTGGCAGATATTCTCAAGCGTCTGTTGTGTCTTACCAGTCTGCCTTGTGTTGATGCCCCACTTAATTTTAGCTTTATTCATTTAGTATTTTTAGGAAATAGTTTTCTTCATATTATCCTACCATTCTTCCCTAGTTATTTAATAAAGCATTATGGAACATTAATGTAGATTCCATATTATATAGAAAGAAAATAGATAATACAGAACACTGATTTGCCTTGGTGTTTATAGTGGGTTACAGTAACTACAGATTCAGCCAGGGTTTAAAAAGTGGTTGAATTTGTGTGACTTGTGAAAAGCACTTTAGCAAACAGGGTTTTTTGAGGCAGTTGTTCTCCCAGGTCTCTCCTGAGGAAACTGAATTGTGGCACACAGGTGCTTAGTGGACCTGATGCCCCCAGACTGCCTGGGGGCCCTGCATCTGCTTATGCAGGCACAACACAGCTACCAGCTTCAACGGTGATGGATGTTAGGACACCAAAGAGAAGTACAGAGATGACACAGGAAAAGTAGGCTACCAGATCTTGAAAGGTGATAACGAAAGAAGACAAAGACATTAAATATGAGATAATACAAATGAAAGCAACTTTAAAAATTAGTATTTCTTCATATTTCAGGGGATTGATTCCAAGCCCCCCCCCCGCCTTGTGTATTCCAAAATCTGCAGATGTTGAAGTCTCATAAATGGCATCATGTTTTTATATAAGTAACTCCCTAAATCCCATATACTTCATATCCCTTTTTTAGAAAAATTCTATTATCCACCCCCTATAGGGTTGGGGATCAAACCCAGAGCCCTTGTGTTTGTTAGACAAGTTTTATACCAATGAGCTATGTTCGTAGCCTGCCTCACATACTTTACATCACCTATAGACTACCAAAGATGCCTATTACAAAGCAGATGCTGTGTAAATAGTTGTTATGTTATATTGTTTAAGGAATAATTACAAAGAAAAGAACTGCATATGTTAAGTAGAGACACATTTTTTTTTCTCTTTTTGTTTTTTAATGTTTTTGATCCGAGGTTGGTTGGATCTGGATGGGAAGCCTATGGAGGCAAGAGTGCTGGCTGTCCCCCAGCGAGAGTCCAGTTGTTCTTTGACTTTTTTTTTTTATGCAGTGTGCTGATATTTTATTCTTCAAAAGTTGGAAGCAATCCTGAAGAAGGCATTGGCTCTTGTGGCTGTGACAGCACCCCCTGAAGTTGGAAACACCTGTGTGGAAGGCCTTCGATATCAGTCATTCGCCTTGGTGCAAGGCCACATGGGACATGAATCCTAATGAGATGTTGCAGTAGATAATTTCCCATTAAAACTCTTCTTATTTGATGGCCTTTTGAAATTAGGGGCATAAAATTGGGTCTTGATATATTATCTTTAAATGCTGTATTCCTCATCCCCAAAAGAATAAAGCAGTAATGCTAACTACCAAATGCTGTAACAATCCAGAAAGAATCCTGCAGGATGGGGCAGGGGTGAAGTGGGGGGTGGAATTCCTTTCCTTGTGCTTGGCAAGCTCTCTGGATGTGGATAGCGTGTCAGGCCTCTGCAGTGGGTCCCTGATTCCCATCAGGGACTCTGTGTTGAAAAGTAGAGCAGACTCACTCAGAGCCGCGGAGCCAAGGCGCTTCAGAGAAGCCCAGGGCTGTCACTAAGGGAGTATGGTCTCTCAGAAAGGCTGGAACTCCAGCCATGGGGAAGAGCTGTAAAAGTTCAGGACAGGTGATGGGAAGCACTCATAAGCATGTGAAGGGTGTTCCTGGCTAGCACTTAGCTGTACACTTGGTCCTAAGATTCCAGGTATTGCCCAAGTGACAGGTCTATGTGTTTAGCCCTCTGCCCCAGGATCTCTCACTATAGCACAGGCTGACCTCAAAATGATGGCCTTCTTGTCTCAGCCTCCCAAATCCTGGAATGTAGGTATGAACCATCATGCCCGGAGTTAGCCACCTCTTTTTCCTAAATAATGAGGAGAGTGTATTGGTGAGGCTCCCTGGTGAGCTCAGAAAACTCTTATGTCCTTGGGGGCATGTGAAGGTCTGTGAGAGTTCTTGTTTTTGCTGTTCATAACTCTGTTCCCACTTAGTACCCTTAGGTAAGTGAGCCCCTACCTCGTCTCTGCGATGTCAAGACTCCCCTCAGCTTCCTGTTACACTCAGGATGTAGGGGACTTTGAGTACCTCATGCTTGCAGTGATGTGGACAGGGTGAGCATGCCTTATGTGGAGGTTGTCCATTCCACTCCATGACTGGTTTTGTGAAAGGTGATGGAGATAAAAGAATCATGTCTTCTCATTGTGTCTTTTACTGCAGTGGCCAGACCTTGTGTGGCATTGTCAGATCCAAACAGGCAAGAACGTGTTCGTGAGTTACTGTTTTTATAGTTGTACTGTATACAGCTCTGCTCTGTGCTAGGATTCTCTAAGAATGACCCAGTCGGTATGGCCCCTGATGGTTGTGGGTTGAGGACAGCTTGCTGTTTGCATTTATATATACTCTCTGGTTCCTTGGGGCCTGGCTGCCCTTGGCTAGACCACCCATTTGGCTTTGCCTAATGGATTCTGTCACAGTCTGCTTATTCTCCAGCAAAATATATTTCCCATTCTTTCTGGTTCACGGGCTCTAAAGATATTTCTTATTCCTGTGGCCAAGATTCTCCTGATTGATGGTAGCATGGAAGGGTGACCCAACCCGAGCCATGGCTAAGCAGTGATGGGGGGAGTAAGACAAATAGCTACATAGAACCTGCAGTGTCGCACTGCCTCTGTGGGTGGGGGTCAGCTTGAGGCAGAGGCCCCAGGGTGGGCTCAGTAAGACGCAAGCCATTTTCCTCGTTGTGCTGGTGTTTGCAAGTACAACATGTGAATAGATGTATATAATCTTTATGAATACATTCAGACTTGCTTCTCTTTCTTGTCTGCTCACCTGGCAACACTGTCACAGCTGCTGGACAGAGAAAACTCCAGGGAAACGTGGGGGTAAAGTTGGGCTCTCACTTCCAACAGGGGAGGATTCTGATTTTGGGTCTCATGTGTGAAATGCCAGTACAAACAACAAAGGAACAGTACAAAGCCAAGTATCAGTGAAATGCTTGGGATCTCTGGCCATCTTGCTTCAGAAAGTAACTGCAGTGGGAACTCAGACTCACCTTGTCTGGCAATTTCTTGAACTTTGCACATGATTTTCATCACTGAACTGAAGCATAAACTGTAGTAACTGCAAGTTGGGGCATGAAATCTAACGGTATGGATACTTACCAGAGGGTCATGGAATGTCTTTAGTCTGGTACATGAAGTGTACTAGAATTTGCCTGATTTAATATTGAACATTGCAGCTGGTACAGTGTTGTCAGGTGAGCAGGCATGAATGAGAAGCAGACCTGAATGTTTTCACACAGCTAGACCTCTTTGGTTGGTCTGTGGTTGGCCCCCGTTGGCCTACTTTTAGCCACCATGCAACCTAGCCACAACTAAGTGTTTGTCTCTCCAGAACTGCCTTCATTCTGGGGACTACATGTGCCCAATACAAAAGAATTATGGCAGAACTGCAGGTGGGGGCTAGGTATCTGACAGGGTAGGGCTGGGCAGATGAAGTGGCCTGAGATGATGCAATGAGGATCCAGGAAATGCTTGAGGGGTGGGGCCCATCAGTGGTCTAGAACAGGCTGGAAGGGAAGTCTTCCCACAAATGCAGGAGACCTAGACTTGGGCAGGGGATGAGGAGGATGAGGAGGACCCTTGTACCATGAGATTCCAACAGCTGACTGCAGATCTTGAGGGTTGAGAGGTGTGCTGTCCACTAAGAGCTACTGGTCACCCTAGTCATTTAAATTAGCCCAAGATAAGACTCAGTTCTTTGATCATACTTTCTGTCTTTAATGATTTGTAAGTAGTCACATGTCGCCAGTGACTGCCTTTTAGAACAGCTGAGAGATAAAATGTCACCATCAGAAAGTTTTGTTGGACACCCCTGCTGTAAGTAGCAGCCATTTATGGGGAGGTGGCCTCCCGGGTCACCTTGCAGGTAGGTATCCACATGGGAAGACATGGCTTTGCAGCCAAGTATTGGCATCATGTGCAGTTACTCCCCTACTTGGTTCTAGCAGTCCA